ATTAAGTAGCATTCTTTTTCTCTCTTGTTCTCATGCGGCGCAAAAACAATGTAACTAATCCCAGATCAACCTAATTTAGAATGTTTTTTACTTGGACTGAAATTTGTTAATCTGGTCTGATCTGTTTAAGTCTGATTTGATATGGTCTGTTTGAACTGATGTGGTCCGATTAATCTCTTGTCTCTATGTATTTTATAATTATGGAAGTCTAGCCTGGTCTGCTATAGTCTTTTTAAACCTGGTCTGGTCTGAGACTGAAAACAGTCCAAGTGCAAATATCCTTAATGTCATGTTTAACCTAATTAATGATTGGGTTATGTTTTGTAGTTAGTTTCCCTAATTTTGCTTTGGACCTGATCCATAAATCGATTAAAAGGAAAGGGGAAATTCTATTCGCAGCCACAATTTTGCTATTCACAGCCACAATATTTTTCAACCCTTCCACTCGTTCCTTTGTCTACGCTATTTGAGCGGGAGCCTAGAGATGTACATGCACTGCAAATATAAAAGAACATATGGAAGACAAGTGAAATTGAATGGAATCAGCATCCGTGTAGCGGAGACAAGTGAAATTGAATGAATTTTTTTTTTGAATATTGGTAAGCAAGTTGATTGACTTAAACTTGCAATATATAAGGAAGGGATACGTGCTACAATAAGAGTATATGGAGATTCAGAAAAGCCAACCGAAGAAAAGATTTGCCTGTATTACATCATCTTCCCTTCCCAAAATAAAACAACTCTACAAAATGAAATTCGGGCTTCTAATTGATTGTTCAATTTGCTCCCAGAAACCTGAATTGCTTTTGACCAGCTTTAATCTGGAAGTGCAATTCATTATCCTCGCACATTGAAGCCGGTTGAAGCTGGTACTGCTTGGAATATTCCAGCATATAAGCGTTTCTATTAATATAGGGCAAATTAGACATTTAATTTTAAATATTTATCTTGGGGGCTGTGGTTAGTAAAGTAATTTTAGTTCAATAAATTTGATTTTGGACTTGTTTAGAAAATTGATTTAAACGGAAATATTTTGAGATTTCGGTAAATAAATTGATTTGATTGGAACAAGTAAATAAATCAAATATTATAGAATACAAACATTGATAGAAATAGATTTGACTTATAAACTAAATCAAATCTATCAAAATAGATTTTGATAGAAATAGATTTGACTTTTTTTATCATCAGATTTGACTTAAATCAAATCTATAAAAATAAATTTGACTTAAATACAAACATTATATTTATAGAAAATAAATCAAATCAATTGTACAAATTGTAGGATCAGAGTTAGTAATGTTTTTTTTCTTTTAATTGGGTTATAGTTCATATTTAATCCATTATTAGAGACTTTCTATGCACTAATAATATTTAACGTGCTATTAGTTAATTTGTCTGTAACTACTAATTACTCAATAAATTGTTTAAATATTTTGATAGCTTGAGAAAGGTGGTTTGGTAAAGTTAGTTAAACTATTTAACCGTTGGGTAAATTAGAAGTTTTATTGAGTAGATCTAATTATAAGAAATTCAATTTATTATCTTTGATAAACATGTGAATTTAATTATGTACACATAAAGAGTCTGTTAGTCACTAAAGTGGTCTACCTCATATGATAATTAAATAATTAAATTTTTATAATCTATTTAATTTATGTCCATAAATGTAATGCTTGTTAATCACCAAAGTGATCAAGTTAAACCACTTTAAGCAATTAATTGAGTAAAAAAACATGACTACATTTACCCATTTAAATTTTTAATGTTATGATAAGTTGTTAATCACCAAGGTGATATGAATAATTAACTTAAAAATTTTAATTCAGAGAATTGATCATGATTTTAGTGTGAACATCTAAACTTAATTATTTAGATATAAGGAGTTCGTTAGTCACCAAAGTGACCTGACTCATAAGTTTATTAAATAGTTAAATTTTTATGTAAATAAATTTGTACAATTGATTTGATTTATTTTCTATAAATATAATGTTTGTTAGTCAACAAAGTAGTTTGGCTAAAAATTATTAGACTTTTTTTTTTAAACCCGGTAGGCAAACCACCAAAATCAATGGGGCAAACGCCGGGGAACATAATGAATCAGAAAAGAAAATCGAATTTTCATAATTTTAGGATATTAAATAATACTCCGTATAAAATAATGAATATAGATTATATTTCTATAAGATCACCCAAAGGTGGATCATGCATGTATAATTTATTGTAATTTATCAAACTAATTTTTATACTTAGATTAAATTTGGTAAATGTCCAAACACAACACTTATTTAGTCAAAGGGTAATTAACTATCTATTTTATATATTATTTGACAACAATTAATGTATACTCCCTCCGTCCCATTTATATTGTGCCGTTTTACCTTTTCGGGAAGTCCCACTTAAATTTTCCTATACCATATTTGGCAAAATTTGTGTGGCTCTAAATCATTCTTACTTTATCAATTAATATCAACCACACAAACTCACTTTTCTTAATAATCGTGTCACCCTCTTTCATCCCAATATAAATGGGACGGAGGTGGTATATGTTTAGTTTTTATTTAAGTACGAATCTATATTATTGAACTCAAAGCATTAGCAGTAAGCATGTATATTGTTGCAGCTTCGCTGAGTCTCTTATCTTCCAAGAACGATTTAGTTAATGAATTCATGTTAGAAATTAAGAAAAGCTCAGACAGATTTAACGGAAAAATTCATCATTAGTAACAAGATAGGTGAGTTCACTAATGTCAAATTTGACTAGTCTATGTCCATGAACGACTATTGATATAAGATGGCTAATCTCGCATCAAATTTGGCTAAGATGAGCATATCTGTTGATGATCCTAACCAGTTCACTTCATAGTAAATTCCCTTCCAATAAAGTTTGACTAAGAGAGGAGGCTACTAGATTAAAGAATGTTAGGGATCACATTGCCCATCTTTCATTTCATGATGAATTAAACGTTCATATGGTCAAATCAAGTAAGATTGATACACATTTAAGTTTCGTGTGTTCGAATCAAATTTCATAGAAGTTCCTAATAACATTTGGTTGTTAGATTCTGATGCTTCTACTCTCACATTATGAAGTGATTTAGGTCAATCCAATAACACTTGGTTGTTAGATTCTGGTGGCGGTATTGGCTAATTTTGCGGATTCATGGAAAAATTATATTTAAAATATTTGTTATTAATAAATAAAATAAAAAAATTATATGAAAAAATAGCTAAAATGATTTTGTACAATAACTTTAATCAATACAATCAGAAAAGTAACCTTAAGCTTCCTTTTCTGCTTATTAGACAATTCGGCGCCAAGGATCAAGAGGTGTTTGCTAAAAAAACCAAAAAAGAGTGGCCAAATAGGCTCTTATAAAACACACAAGAGTAAGGGGCTGTTTACTTTTATTTTCATTAAGTCCTGTCTGGATTAAGACGTCTGTCTGTATTAAGAGGTCTGTCTGGATTAAGTGACACTGAGATAACAAGCTGTTTACTATGTGTGCTGAATGTATAGTCTAAATTTTATTAAATTCCCAATTTACCCTTCTGTCTATTACAAGTGATGATCATTAGCAATATCATCTCATAAATTTGTCTTGTCTTTTACTTTGTGATGTTTGTTCCCCATTGCGTTCTACTACCTATCTATTTCTTCTCCAATCTACAAATTGCAATCAGATAAAATCATAAAATGATGACAAGTTTATAAATAATAATAACACTAGCCACAAAAAATTGCAATTATTACTTACGTTAACTACAAATGAAATCTGCCCTGGGAAAAACAATAAACAATGAATCAACAATTAACACAGTGTTTCGAAGACAAGAACTCACTGTGTATTCCAACAATAATAAAAAGAAATCATGAAAATAGATGGTGTATCAACATCCCAAGAACAAATATCCTCTGCCTTGGCATAATTCAATCATTGAGCTTTCTTTTTTCGTCTGCACTTTTCTTCTTCGTGCTGTCTTAAAGGAGAAGAGGAAGAAGTATTATGGCATATCTAAATTAAGTTGAACTTCAGAAATTTTATCAAACAATTACAATATAGTGATTTTACCAGAAATATATGGATTGTTTAGAAAGCCAGCGCCAGATCGAAGATAAGGAGAGAAAGAGAGAATAAAAATATAAAACCAGATGAAATACCTAGATGAAAAGGGTAGGTTCGAGACTTCTCTTCGTTGATTTCTTGATACAAGTTGTTGGGAGCAGTGGCATCTCGCAAGTTGCTGTGAGCCAGCGATTTTCACTGGTTTGTAGCCACTGAGAAGAAATTTTTGAAGGAGAAGGCAGAGTTAAAGATGGCAATCGTTTAACGCAAACACGTCTGAATGCGAAGGAGTGTTAAAACGAAGCTGAGTGAATAAGTGACAACTTGACTGAGCAAATAAGTCGCATTAAAAATTAAGTTGTAAGTAAACACTACTATATAACTGAATGATTAATTCACTAGTTCTATTCAGCATAGTCTAAAGTAAACAGGCCCTAAGTAGTACTACCTCCGTAACATTGGGATGTTCCCATTTGAAAAGTAGGTAGATTAAGAATAGTGAAAAGAGATATGTATTATTAGGAGTATGAGGGGAAGATAGTGAAATAATGTGATGGAATGAAGGATAAATCCAAAAAAAATAGGTGTAATAGTGTATTATTTTTAAAATTATTGAGGGTATGATGGGAAGATTTAGAAATGGGAAGATATTAGTGTTACGTCCATAAAAGGAAAGTGAGAAGATATTTACGTTACGGAGGTAGTATTACTACTAGTATTACTACTAACTAGAGAAGCGCCCTTAGCTTTTTCGAAACTAGGAATATTTGGTTGGTGCCAAATAATGGTATCGTACGATTAAAACCCATGCACAGCGTGAATATATATATATATATATATATATATATATATATATATATATATATTATTATATATATATATATATATATATATATATATATATATATATATATATATATATATATATACGGCCTAGCTTGTAATGAAACTGCACCATTGTTGTCTAACTAGCTAGTTAGTTCAAAGTAGCTACCAATTCGCTCCGGTCCTTTCTTTTGCAATGAAGAAGATGGAGGTTGTGTGTGTGAGCAAGAAGCTTATCAAGCCTTGCACCCCCACCCCCCAAAACTTGAGGAAGTACAGGATCTCCTCCATGGACGAGCTCAATCCAACCATGAACACTATCATCATTCTCTATTACCCCTCCGTCCCAGACTTCACCCAGAAGCTCGACCACCTGGAAGAATCCATGGCGAAAGTGCTGCCACAGTTTTATCCCTTTGCCGGAAGGTACGTCAAGGAGCACCACTTGGTCGATTGCAGCGACCAGGGAGCTCTGCTTGCAGTGGCGGAAGCGGCTCACACTGACCTGCATCAGATTGCCGAAGTTGAGGTCGACCAGCTTAACGATCTCTCGCCGCTCGAGATCGGCGAAGCCGACGAGGAAAACGATCCCATACTGGCAGTCCAAGTCACCCGGTTTCGATGCGGTGGCGTGTCCGTCGCCGTGTGTATTTCCCACCGGCTAGTCGACGCCTGTGGCCTCGGGACATTCATTGCCGCCTGGCGGAACGCCTGTGGCCCGTCGACAAAGCTCGGGGAAGTTGTTTCCCCGAGTTTTGACGGGCCGCAGGTCTTCCCGGGGAGGGGTTTCCCGGCTCCGGAGTTCGGTACCAGCCGGACGAGGCAGAACAGGCTGTACAACCTCGCACCCAAGAAGTACGCCTTTAACAAAAACTCTATATCCAGAATGAGAGAAGCCGTCGCCGGGCCGCAGGGCCCGCTCTTCTCGCGGGTTCAGTTGGTCTGCGGCTTGATAGTCAATGCCATCGCGGGCATTGACCGGGCCAGGAACGGCAGGTCCCGCGGGATGCTCATCGTTCAGGCGGTGAACATGCGGGAACGGACAGTGCCGCCTCTGCCGAAGCACAGCTGCGGCAACCTGGCGGCACTGTCCATCACCGAGCTCAGCTCCGACGAGGTGGCGGCGATGGGATTCGCGGACTTCACGGGGGTCCTTCGGCGGGACGTGCTGAGGACGGTGGAGGAGTGTCGGACGGCTCTGTCAGAGGCAGGACGCAGGCAGTTGCTCCAGACGTCGAAGTTGTCGTCGGAGAAGTCCCTGAGCGAGGATGTGGTGGTGGTGTGGGCTACCGACTGGAGCAAGTTCGGGTTCTACGAGGCGGACTTGGGGTGGGGGAAGCCGGAATGGACGAGCGTGGCGGGCGTCGGGATCAAGAACCATGTGCTGATGCTGGGTAACAAGGAAGGGGGCGGGATTGAAGTTTGGGTGGAGCTGCAGCATGACGACGTTGATTTCTTTAATGGGGATGAGCAGCTGAAGAGTTTCGTGGCGCGCTCCTAGCTGAGATCAACCGCGGCCGTTCAAGTTTAATAAGAGTACTAGCTTTAATTTGTGCGTGCGTTCTTAATAAATAACGCAGGTTTATGGACTTGTTGCTGAGTTGAGGATCAGAATTCAGAATGCTAATAAATGAAATCATTCCGAGATTATGGTTTGTTTGTTGTTTGTTTCTTAGTCCGGTCAGAGATTATTTTTCAAAATGCACGAAAGTAGGAATTAATTTGCTGGTTTTTAAACAAGAGGAACTAAAACTAAAGGTTAACCCATTATATATTATGTAGAAAAATTCCCTAAATAGGATTAAAACAATAGAAAAATTCAAAACTAGGACTACCATGTTTTTTTGAACGTTTTTAGGACTAAAATATAGCAGCTTGACAAAATTGCCCCTCAATATAAAACTCCAGGCTTCCGTATGGAGCCGCTGCTACTCTGTGAAGATCTGCTACTCTTCTTCTTTTCTTCCTTTTCTTCTTTTTTCCCTTTTCTTCTTTTCTTCTTCTTACTCCTCTTCTTGTCTTCTTCCAGGTTCTCTGTATTTTAATTTTTTAAATTTTTTTCTATTAACAAATGAAAATAGTATTTTGGATCTAAAAATTGAGATGAAAAGTGAGTTTCAACGTATGACCATGATCGAATATATTTGATTTTTTTTTTCAATTTTGTTTAATCCTGGTAAATTCTGGAAATGTCACTTTTGTAATCTGAGAATGTCAAAATTATTAGAAGAAACGTCACTTTTATGACAACATGTTTATAAAGATGGCAATCTCACTTTGAAAAAATGACATTACAAATGTTATAATTTCAAAGTAAGATTGTCATAGTACTGCCATAAAAGTAATATTTTTTCTTCAAAACATGACATTCTCAAATATGTCATAAAAAATGACATAAAATGCCATAAGAATGACATTTTCTTATTGACATATGACATTTTCAGATTGTCGTCCGGATAAATTTATTGCCACAAACATGACAGTTTTTTCAAATAACCAATAATTTTGACATTCTCAGATTATAAAAGTGACATTTTTCTGAAAAAATAAAATCCAAACACTAAAAATCCAAATTAATAAATAAAATTCAAATCCAATCCCAGTTACGTTAATCAAAATCATAATACTTCGTACAGCTCAAATAAAAATGTTGTTGGTTGAAACCTCACGTTGAATCTAAATGGTTACAAGTGAGATTATTTTTAGAAAAGTAAAAGAATTAAGAAAAATCAAAATCATTCTAAGAAAAAGCAAACAGAGCACCACAGAGATGATGAGAAGATGAAGATCGAACAGGAAGGAGAAGAAGAAGAAAAAAGAAAAAGAAGAAGAAAGAGGAAGAAGAAGAAGAAGAAAGTTGGAGAGGATTACCTATTTTTGCCGGCGAAATAGGTGTGATTGGCGTCGATGGGGAGGGCGGTCGCCGTTGATGATGTAGGAGCTGCGTTCCGTCGCAGGCACAATCCTTGCGTTCAATTGCAGACGAAGGATTGCAATTCCAAGGCCAAGAGAGAATTGAATACAGGAGAGGGCAAAAATGTAATCTGGGATCCTATTTTGGAAATAATAAACTTGTAGTCCTACTTTGGAATTTTCTTAATGTTTTAGTCCCATTTAGAACAAATTCTTTATTATGTATATTGGCCATATATATAGTGATTATAGTCGAGCTGTTGGGGCAAAACTTCTTGATCATTTCATATATAATGATGATAACAATATTGATAGTGGTGCGGATTTGAGGTTCTTGGAGCAACTAAGAATTCAATGGCTACCAAAATGTCCCCATGTTTGTGGGAGGATATATACAACCATTTTTCTGTAATTCGGCTTCCTTGGATTCTATTAGAAATTAAATTTGGCTTAGCCCAATAATCGGATCCATTAGAAGTTAACTTGTTGGGCTAGTAGATGTATGAAAAATAATAAATTAGTTAGTCCATAAGTAAGACTTAGTAAAGAAAGATGTAGAGTACTCTTTAGTTAATTATGTACCTAAATAATTCTAGAATATTCTTAAGCTAGAATCCTATAGAACATTGTAGAATGCTTAGGATATAGGACTGCCTTGAAGAATCCTATGAGACCTATAAATAGAGCACTCCTCACTCATTTGTAATACAAGCCAAAAGCTCCAAATCAATAAAAGTTCAAAGTTCTCCCAAAAGTCATTTCTCTAAAATTCTCTCTTCCACACACAATCACCCAAATCTAATACTACCTCCGTCCCAAATTGAGTTGCAATTTTGACTTTTTTTGGTCAAACATATTCGTTTTGTTCGCTTAATTAGGTTGTCAATTTTTAATTATATTTCATTTTGGAGTTTACAACTTTGAAGAGATTTTAATGTAGTTTATGAATATGTAAATTTTAATTATTAAAAATTGAATTCATTATCAATAGGAAGATTTGACTTTTATTATCGATTGACTAAAAAATGTTGATTTTGCAAAACAATTTGGGACAGAGGGAGTACTATGTACTCATAAACTACTTTCTACCGTACTGCTTCTACCGTACACCCAAATAACAAGTGTTTAGGTACCTAGAAAAGTACCTTCACTTCTAAAACAATCAAATAACACGTGGTTCCACATCACATAAACACCCTAATTTTAGCTTTTCTTGAACCTATTGATGTACTCATATACCCCACTCATATACTATGTTAATTTTGTCTGAAAAGAATAAAATTCATAAAGGTAAAAGTAGTATACTGGATAGGTACCCCTATCCAGTGGATGAGTGATGATTGAACAACTCCCAACACCCCATGCATTCCTCCAAAAAGTTGAATCCCCAACCCGGCAACCCCAAGAGCCCCACGTCCCAACCCCACAAAGCATACAGGAGATTATAAATCATGGTGACTCAGTTAGTTAGTCCAATGATGGTAGGCCTTATAGCTGTGCAAAGACACACCGTACATGAATGGATCAGCGAGTGAATGAAAGTATTAGTGGCACTTTAGACCATGAAGCTCATTTTGTACTCCTATACTGCTATACATGTTAGTATATGGTAGTTTTGCCTTTGAACAATGAAGCGCATTTTGCAAGTGAACTTTTCATTGAAAAAGGAAAACTTCCTCATAGTATTTAAACTGCAACCTTTTCTTTATGAAGGTTGGGCCGTTGGGGTGAGAAGAACGTGTTCCATGTCAAATGGGCACTGGATCGAGGTACACACAGTGGCATTTACAGGAATATTTATGAGGGGGGGGGGGGGCAAGATTACATTAAAATTTAATCACATACGTAATATTTCATTAATAGTAGATCACATTATTAATATTGTTTGATTAGACTTAATTTAAGTTATAAATGTACAAATATCTATAAAAACAAATCAATTGAAATTATGTATATGCAAAGATAAAATTTGAGAAAATTACCAAAATGCAAGTTAAACATTACAAGATTTGGTAATTTTTTGTCCTTTTATTCTTTTCATAGGATTATATAAATCATATATTTAAGGAAAGAAAAACTCTTAACGGGACGGAGCCACGGAGGTAGTAAAAGTTAGTATTTAAAATATAATTTTAACATTTTTTTCAACTAAGATATTTTTGCTTGGACTGTTTTCAATCTCAGATCAAACTAGAGCAAACCAAACTTAAATAGATCAAACTAGGGGTGGATTCGGGCCGGTCAGGTCCGGGCGGCCGGGTAGCCACCGGGTCCGGGTCGAGCCTCGGGTCAATTGTTTTTTCCTTTTCCTAACCCCCCCCCCCCCCTCACCCCAAACCACCCCAAGTGGCCCAAAATACCCAACTCAACCCAGAAAGTTAAAAAAAAAATGAAAAAAAAAATTTAAAAACCTGGAACCGGGCCCGAACCGGCCGGGCCGGTTCGGCTTTTGGGTGACCCGAGCCCGCACCGAGAACCCCTAGGGCTGGGCCTACCCGGACCGGTCACTGGCCGGGCCACCGAGCCGGGCCGGTTCAGCACAGTACCGGTCCCGAGTCGGTTCCGGGTTGGGCCACCCGGCCCGAGTCCAGGACTAGATCAAACTTAAACAGATCAGCCCAGATATTTATAGTTATAAATACACAAAATCAGACATTTACCAGACTAGACCAGTCCAGATCAGACTTAAACAGACCTGACTAGCAAATTTCAATCCAAATAAAAACATCCTAAAAAGCTAATAACATTAGCAAACACTACTATAGTGCACATTGAACCACCTCGTGAGCCTTCCTAGTAAGGCCCAATAAGGCCAATAAGGATGTATACCGAGCACCTGGGATGAACCATGCTGACCCAAGAGGCCAAGATATAATTTCAAATGTGTGGTTGATTACTTCTATTCCTCAATACTTGTGTACAGAGATTTTAAGTTCATCATTTGGAGAAACTGATACCGGTTATGATTGTGTCTTATATTGGTTTTGCAACAGCGGAAAATTTATTATTTGTAAGTTGTAACATGACTCTGTAATGTCATAAAGCTGTTTATTTTAGCATATACATTGTGACATTTCCAATTCTATACGTAATGATCTCTCAACAATACAGATAGTGCTTTTGTGATTCTTTTAGAATCAAACATCAAACAGTCAAGTATCGTGTGTTATTCTAATTAGGACTGAAAACAGTCCAAGTGAAAAGGCGTTTTTCCCTCTACACATTCTAACTGGCCAAAGTGCCAAAGGTCCAAACTAAACAGACACCGCCCACATTCCCTTCCTTCCCTCCCGTCTTAGGTCCATGCAAGAAACATTGGCAAAATTTCTGAAACCAAGCAGTTCTATGAAAATACAGAAAAGTAATATAATAACATATAATCCACAAATACTACATAAATGCTACTCTTGGACAAAACCATTCTGCAAGATCATAGATTTCTATGAAAACAAAGTAAGTACAATCTCACAATGTGCTGTTCCAGCTGGTAACCCAATTAGCAAGGGTCTCAACATTCCTGGCAACATCCTCAATGGAGTTATTCGTTAATGCAAATACAATTTCCTCTCTATAACTCTCTTTTGCCTCCTCCAGTAACACTTGAAAAATTTCACATTCTATGTTATTTTTAAGTTTTGCTTCTGAGTAACCCCTGCACCACCATTAGAATAGTTGAGGAAAAAATGTATCGAGATCGGTAAGGGTGAAAATGAAAGAGAATAATAAGAATAAGAGCACGTTTGGGACCATAATGTGGACTACTCTAAACAAAACAATAGGAATAACCACATTAAGTAATTTTCTATTTACTTATTCGGCCGAAATAGTTTTACCAAATGCTTTTTCTTTTAGAAAATTCATCATATTTGCCCACATAAACTGAATAACCCTCACTCGTCATATTTTAAGTACCCATTTGGTCAGCTTGTTTTTTAATTACCAGCTTATATACTAAATTTTTATTTCACGCGCTGAATTTGTTAACAATGAAAAAGTACAACCGGAGGTACTTTTTGGTTGAATTGGCTAAAGTGATTAATTTTAATTATCCATATAATTCTTTCTGCACTTTATGTTCATATACTCCATATGTTTTACTTTTTTTTTATAATTCGACAGGTTGAGCTAATTCATCCAAAACTTCTCCAACTTCAAGGGATTTGACAATTCTGTTCATTTTAGTCTTACCTAATGGGCTCTAACTAACTTATTTGAATTTAAACTTCTTCTTCCTAAGCTTTTCCTTCTAGGAAATTCAATAGGTCTAGTCACTTCAACCACCACATTACCTTTCGAAAATTCAATAGGTCTAGTCACTTCAACCAAATAATCCTTAGAAAAGCCCTTAATATGTTACCTCTGTTTCAAGCGATCATACAAGACAGAATTTTCAGTTTGAAGAACAACAACACGATCAAACCAACGCTCTGGAAAGAAGTCACATCCGTGGTAATCAATAATGTTTCCACCTTGTTCCATCATATCCTCAAGTTCATCACAAACCTAGAGGAGAAGCCATTAACAATTAGACTTAAAACACGAAAAATTGTTCAGAAATGCTCAATGAGAAAAAAGATTTGGTATTACTCTCCGTTCCCAAGTCACTACAGTAATGAACTGATTGTTCTCAAAATTCTAACACGCAGTATTGTCTTTCTTACTCTTTTCAAAACTCGGGTGCAAATGCAAAATGGTACTTTTGTACCGATACAAAAAAGAATTGAACCTTTACTATTCTAGTTCCAGAGTACACGAAATAAATCTGAATGTTAATTGAAAAGATTTGTTAGCAAGAGAAGGGAACATTATCATTAATGAGTAAGCCTTACAAGGTCTTCGTTGATGATGAAACAGTCGAGCTCATCGTCCCAGCCGTCGTGCAAGTTCTTCGCTTTGACTAGATCGCCGATGTTTATGTGGCGAAGCTGAGCCGCGTCCGCGAGGGCAGACGCCGTCGTCGTCTTCCCCGTGCCAGGCGTTCCCGTTATTAGTATATTCGGGCTCTGTCGGCGGCTGCGGCTGCTATTTTGAGCCATAATTTATCCAATGGTAGGCCTCGCAGGACTACCGAAGGGTATAAAGTATTACAGTATTAGAAAAAATGAACATGAATAGTGGACGCGGTCCGGAACGATCAGGTAAACTAGTAAAACACGTAATGTATTCATTAGGTTTTTAACGGTCCGGTACGGTCCGATTTCAAAGATAGAACCGTTCGATATCATGTCGTTTCGGAACGGTACAAAACGGTACGGTACAATGTCAAACACATGCTAAAAAGTTTTGAACAAATATTGCAATTAGTAGATATCTTCACACCAACCAACTCACATTAAATGTTGATATAAATACAAGAAATTGCATATGTAGTACTAAAATTCACAAATACACAAAACAGTGCAACACAACTAAGAAAAAGTATAGCAAAACGATGACGTACGAGATAAATGTCATCTTTAATTTACTAAGTTCATGTGAAAATATAAAAAAAAAATATCATCAAATTATTGAATATAATAGAAATCTTCAATGTTCTTCTTCGTTCTAGGTTAAATATTGCTCCGTAGTTCTAATTTAATTTATAGTTGAGCCTTGAGAGCTGAGATTTAAATCATATTAATTAAGTTGTAAAATTACGCAAACATGATACCACAAAAAGTCATGTACACTACATTACTAGAAATGAATAGTCCTTAATGATTTCTAAAATTTTAATATTCTTTGAATTCATATTAAAATATAACATAAATTATCTAAAATAAAAAAATAACAATATATATAAACACACACACCTAGCTAGTTTGGACGCATGAATACATACTTGGGCTATAAATTAAAATTGTGTGTCTATAAAAGAGATCTATTAGTATAGAAAAATTATAAAAATTTAAATGCATTATTTTCGAACGGTTCGGTCCGGTATTTTTCGGTTCTCAAAATCTAGAACCGATCCCGTACCCGTTTCAAACGGTTCGATTTCGGTACGGGACAAAAATCTATAGAACCGTTTAAATACCCGGTATTCGGTTCGGTACCATTACAGGACGGCTCGGTACCGGTTCGGTTCGGGTTTTATGCCCACCCCTAATGAATACTTTCAATTAATTATTACTGATTTGCTTGAAATAATTCAAACTATCGATTACTGAATCAGGGGCGGCATTTGGAGGAAGCGTATATGGTACATCCGGTTATACGGTGTCATCCGTACAGCTGGTGTCGAACTTGTAATTTTGGTGAAAATCACGGATTCTCCTAAATGAGCATTGAATCAATTTTGATGAGCATCGAGCCTGTTCTTTTGAGTATTAGGAGTCTATCGGTGAGCATTAATAATATCTGCTTCATTAATCTTATATCACATTCCGTTTAATATTTTTTCGTTTATTGAAGTCTTAAATTATGTCTATAATCAATTTCATTTCATTTCAATATGTGAATATAATGGATTATGATATGTTTAACATGTGCAACCTTTTAAAAATGAGCATAAAACAGCATTTGAGTTTAACATAAAACTCATTTTGAAATATGCATGAATGAGCATACACAAATGAGTTTCAAATGAGTATCAAAATATTAAAAACTCATTTGTGTGTGCTCATTCATTTTGAGTGTTATATTCATTTGAGTTTAACATAAAACTCATTTTGAAATATGCATGTGTTGGGATAATGGACCAGGCCCAGTGCCGTCGGCCCGTTATCCCCGAGCTTTGGCCCAACTAGGCCCAAGACACAGTCTCACGAGCGGAAATAGCCCATTGCTCATTTACTTATTTATCGGGCTTGTTTGCCCAATAGCTTGGACATCTATTATGTATTTGGGCCAAGCGCGCGTAGGTTAGGTTTTGGACTTGTGATGGATGCCTATAAATAGGCCATCACCCCCCATGTATTCTCTATGTTATTTTCACTATACTGAAATGCTGTTAGTTTCTCTATCCGGAATATTTTCTACCAATATTGGTGCTTTCATTGAGAGCCGACTCTCATTTTTCGGTAGAAAATCAAGAGAAAACAGCAAAATCGAGTGAGATAGCTGGAAAAATTATCAAAAAGTTGATTACAATTTCAAAGTTCAGCCAAAAATGATTGAGGATGAAGATTTCGTAGAAAAGCAAACTGGAATGGGGGTCTTCCAAATCATATCCCTTCAGACCAAATCGCTGAAGGAGATGGACGAAGCAAGCCAGATCCCGGGGGCCAAGCTCCTCCGCCTCCCACGCGTCTCGCAGAGCACCTTGTCAGCCAGCAGGTCGCTTCTCAGCCATCTATGTTAGTCCGTTACAGTGTCGCCCTCCTCGCTTCTGATTACTACGCTGCCGCGATGGTCGTTCCAGGACGAGCTACTGTGGTTATCGACAGTCAACAACTAGGTCGAAGCTTCTGGTCTCCATTAATGGCGAGCTCGTCCCTCTGTTCGCAGTTTGTTTCATCGGCAGAGCCACGATCAGGGAACCTTCCCCGGAGAACTTGCGCTCAGACGAGGGTGACTACCCCGACGACCTCTAACCTGCCGTCAAGGGTTCTGCTGGGAAGGAGGCCAGTGACGTACATGCAAGGGCAGCATGACCCGAACCAGACGCCGCTTGATGCTCACTCCATCAGGGCAGCGGTCGCCAGGGGATCTTCCGGTCCCCACGCCTGAGATCGCAACTCCTTCGCTGATCGGAGCTCCTCTTCCCTGCCTCTTGGCAGCAACGACGTTCGGAGGGAGTAGCAGGCCTTCAAGCGTAGGGTTCATCTCCTCTTCTCTCTGGCAGCAACACTGGTTGGACAACACATATGGACGTTTCTTTCTCCCGGAAAGACTTAATTTTGACCTAGTCAAAATTTCAGCAAAGGACAATCATCAACTGTGATACATCAAAAAAAAAAAATCTGAAACTTTATTAATTTTTTTGAAATTGCAGGTTGATTACCTGTGCCAACTGGTCGGGGTTGCATAGCACCATCGCGAGGTCATGCATGCTCGAAGCTATCACCCCAGACGCCTGTATGCTCGGTGCCCATACACCACGCTCGTACGCTTAGAGCATGATGGACCCCGAAGGGAGTACGTGTCCCAGCAAGTTGAGCAACCAACAAGGAGGCCCTCCCGGTAACGCTCGTTCCGGGAAGGAGGGAACAATTCGTCTCATCACTCCCGTCAACCGGGTAGACGGCTGGCACCCTGGGAGACGTACCGGCAAAGACGTACAAGCGTAGACGGATTTTGAAGGGAGTACGTGTCCTGGCAAGTTGAGAAGCCAAGAAGGAGGCCCTCCCGGTAACGCTTGTTTCGGGAAGGAGGGAACGATTTGTCTCATCACTCCCGTCGACCGGGTAGACGCTTGGCTCCCCGAGAGGCGTACCAGCAAAGATGTTCTAGCACAGACAGATCTCAAATGGAGTATGTGTCCCGCCAAGTTGGGTAGCCATGGTAGCCAGAAAGGATGACTCGTCATATCACTCCCATTGACTGGGCAGGCGGACAACCTTCCTGGATGGACGCCATGCTAAATCTCGACCTCACGCACAGAAGAGGGTTGCAGAGTCTTCTGCACAAGTTCAGCTCCGCGCCTGATGCGGTGGAACATCTGAGGCTAAGGTTACGAGTTGAGGAGAAGGGTCGTCGAGGGAGAGCCATATGTGTCCGACCTCCACGTCCCATAACCATCCACTGGCACAATGATGAAGCACTACTGTCAAAGGTGCATAGACTTTGCAACGTAGAGCTGTTGCTCGAAGTCCTGGAAGTATCGTTGCTAAAGGGGTACAAACCTTGCAACGCGGAGCTGTTCGTGAAGGTCCATGAGTACCGTTGCTAAGGGGTTACAAACCTTGCAACGCGGCGGCATCCAGGAAGGAGGCCTTCCCGGCAACACTCGTCCTGGGAAGGAAGGAAGCACTGTTGCTAAAGGGGAACAAACCTTGCAACGCGTGCTGTTACTCGAAATCTTGGAAGTATCGTTGCTAAAGGGGTACAAACCTTGCAACGTGGAGCTGTTCGTGAAGGTCCAGGAATACTGTTGCTAAGGGGTTACAAACCTTGCAACGCAGTGGCAGCCACAAAGGAGGCCTTCCCGGCAACACTCGTCCTGGGAAGGAAGGAAGCACCGTTGCTAAAGGGGTACAGACCTTGCAACGCGGGCTGTTACCCGAAGTCCTGGAAGCACCGTTGCTAAAGGGGTACAAACCTTGCAACACGGCGACAACTAGGAAGGAGGCCCTCTCGACAACACTCGTCCTGGGAAGGAAGGAAGCATTGTTGCTTAAGGGGCACAGACCTTGCAACGCAGCGGCAACCAGGAAGGAGGCCTTCCAGACAACATTCGTCCTGGGAAGGAAGGAAGCATTGTTGCCAAGGGGTACAGACCTTGCAACGGTCAGCTGTTGCTCGAAGTCCTGGAAGAATCGTTGATAAAGGGGTACAGACCTCGCAACGTGAAGCCATTTCACAAGGGCGTGCAGACCACCAGGCTGTGGCAGAAGACGCCAAGCAGAGGAAAAAAGTGAAAAGTTTGGGCTGGGATTCGAATACCAGACATAAAATGGAAACAAGGAACCTCAACCAATGGGATGAACTGTCAAAGTTTTCGTCTATTGACGTACCGGCGCCATCATGTGCCGCCGCCGCGCGCCGCTTCCACTGTGTGCCGCCGCCGCTGTGTGCTGCCACCATGTGTCGCCGCCGCTTGATTATCTTTCTCAAGACCGATTCCTGGCGTTGACGTCGTTACCTCACGATCGGGCTCCCCGTTCCCTTCAAGGATATCGACCGTCGTGATCATGTTTGGTGCCGCTCCTCAGCGCTGACGTCGTGACCACACGATCGGGCTCCCCGTTCCCTTCTGGGATGGCGACCGTTGTGTTCATCTTCGGGATCGGCCCCTCAGCACCGACGTCCCGTGATACGGCCAGCTCCTCAGCGCCGACATCGTGACTGCACGATCGGGGCCCCCATTCCCTTCCGGGATGACGACCGTCGTATTCATGTCCGGGAAGGTCATCATGACTGCACGATCGGGCACGCGAGGAATCAGGTGATGATGTTGACAGAAGATCTCTGGAATCAAGTGTCGAATCCTGGAGACTATAGGGGTAAAATTGGGTCACGGTCATAACGTGTAATCT